CAATGGTTGAAGCTGTTGCCAGAGAGCGTTTGCATGCCCGCCTGGCCTGCCCTGGCCTGGCCTAGCTGGGCTCGGCTGTCCCGGAAAATGCTATAATTATGCAATTCCTCAAAGGCGCTGACGGTGGTCCCCACTGCCCTCCGACCAGCCCCTTACCTTGGCTACTCTCTCAGACTATATAATCTGCAAACGGTGAGCGCGCGCGCCTTTCGGGGCATCGGAAATTATTGACTGGCAGTCAAAGGAGTTAAGGCCTTCAAGTAAATTGCTGTAAATCTTTATTTGTGCAGCTACTTAAAGACTTGGGCCACAAACTATTCAGTTGGGGTTAACAAGCCGCCAGCGATTAAGTCATTTCTTATGTAGGCTCATTATTTTTTCCCTCTTTTTTTTTGTTTCTGTTAGCCCCCTCGCACTAGCTACGCATAGTGCTACTGTGCGCCGGCAACCCTCGAATTCTCCTACAGCATTGCAATTTTTCACAGTCTAAGCCAAAAATGTGAAGCCGCGACAAACCCGTTTGGTTAGCTCGGGCAAAGCAGTTGCTACTTAGACCTGTAAATTGCCCGCAACTTTGTTAGTGAAATATTTTTTTTTCTTATATATTTTTATCTTGACAATGCGTTGTCACTTGGTCGAATGAAGTGTGCGTGTGTGTGTGTGTGTGTGTGTGTGTGTGTGTCTATCTGAACTGTTTCCGTATTTGTTCTAATTAAAAGTGACAATTCTACGTAATTAGCTGGCGGCTATTTTTAACACTTCACTGATTTCTGTTGGCAGCAAAAAGGACTCAGCTTCAGCTTTTTCCAGAGAGATATCAAATTTCTACCAATTATTGATTTGGTTAGCTTATTTAGTTAATTAGCGTTGACAGTTTCGCTTCTGTTTGAGAAGCTTCCGAAAAAAGAAGTAGATAATTTTAAAAATTTAGTTAGAAATGGTTGTCAATGGTTGTTAAATAAATAACTCTTATCCAAATATTTGACGGAATTATAATATCACCAAAGAATACTTTTAAGTAACCATGATTTCAGAGCTTTAATAACAATTGCTTATTAAAAAATTGCTATTAAAATGTTACCAAAATGATTCCAAAACTTTTCAATTACAAGACTCGCGATCGTCTTAAAATTTTTTCTAGAAATATGTCAAGAAATCAAGGATCCCAACAAACTTCTTTGATCTAAGGCTCATGTTATTTTAGATCTAACATCATTTTTCTGATTAGAGATCTTTCTAATCGTGCAATCACAACGCAAATCGATTCGATGTCTGAAGCATCACATCATGAACTCAATCTTGATCTTTCTAATCAAAACAATCGCAGATTATTTTAAAGTAAAATAACAAAAAAGGAACATTAACTTAATTTTCATGACCCAGTTCCCTTGCCTTTCACCAGGCTCCCGCTGTGCTATGGCACATATATGTCCCAGTTAACTGTGTTCACTGCGAAATTGCTCAATTCAAATGGGGCTCATCGCCAAACACACATATTTTCAGCTCCAATTGCAAAAAAAAAAAACAAAAATAGAACAACAAAAATAGAAACAAATGTCTTCATTAATACAATTGATGAGTGTACATGACGCTGATGTGTTCGAAGTGGTAGCCAATGAGCCACTAAATCAAACCATTAACATATATCCCCTTCCACACTTTAATTTATAATGTGTACAAAAAAAAAAGAAACGAAATCGAAACGTGCCAAACAATTCAATTGCAATTATGCAATCGGAAAATATAAAAAATAAAAAGATTGGAAACGCGAAATTAAACCATTCCTATGGAGCGCTACATGTGGCCATGTCCAGTCGAGACTGATCAAACGGGTCAGCGGGTGGTGGTTGTTTGGTTGCTCTGATGCCGTCAAATGCACTGCCAGATATTAAAATACTTTATGACCGGCACTTTGCACTATTCTCAACGGCTTTTGGTTTTCATTTTCTTTTCTTTTGGTAGGCGTTAATAGATTAGCTTTTTTCGTGTGCATACAAAGTGAATGGTGGAAATGTGCGAAATGTTCAACAATCTTCTAATTGGGTTAAGCTACAAAACAAATGAAGATACATGTGTTGAGTGGTGTGGCCCGATCCAGACTAAAGCAAACAATGTTGCAAGCAGCTGGAAAAAACCAAATTTCCTGAACTTAGAAATCTGTAGGAAAAAAAATGATATAACGAGCTTCCCTGGCATAGACCACAACTCCAAATATGTTTATTAATGTGACCTGAACTGGTCTTAAAATCAGGCCTGCAAGTCGCAATAAAAAGTTTGGTGATTCAATTTAAAGGTCGAACCGGCTTCCTGCCTTGGGTTTCGGTTTGTTAACCTGGTTATCAACACTCATAAGCGCCGGATTTGGCTCAAACCTTGCCTTGCCATATATTTTCGAGTCGTAAAAATGCATTTCGTAAAGATTTGGAGGCTAAATGTTATCTCCACCCAACATTAGATTAAACCAAATTTGGATACATAATCCCAATGGTTGGGGTTCCGCGTTCAAAACAAACAATCTTTGTCACAATTTATATTATTTAATTTTATCATAGTTGTAACCCTAATGTGTAGTGTCTATAGAGTTGGCAAAACTGTACAACATATTAAAATTTTGCTTGAAAAAGCGTTAGAAAAGCTTACTCAAGCTGTTGGCAGTTACTGATAGCAAGATGACAAACTCTGCAGCTGTTCACATTAAATGTTAAATTCGTTTTATCCACAAACTCAATCTTTATATAGCTACATATGTACTTTTATTTATCTGCGAGGAAACTAACCCGTATCAAAATAAAAATTTGTAATGCCAGCAAATAAACAGAAAACACAATTCGCAACACTTACAAACAAAAAATTAAAGGGCTTTGCCACAATCAATTAGGCCGCAATTTCAGAATTAATTATATACGCACACAGATCTGACATATTTCAGACATATTTCAGATTTAACATTAATTTGGCACTAAACTGTCAGCTCAGAATGGTCACAGGCAGAGAAGAGCGACATATGTACATATACATATACTCATGTCTCGAGCACTTTGCACTCAGCGCTGTTTACACAACAGGTAAATGTTGCCAGGTAAAATAAAAACGGTCCAAACTTGAGCAACGGGCAAATGTCCAATTTAATTGTAATGTGAGAAATTTAAATAAGGTAGCCGCCAAATGCGGCTCAGATGCTGAACAATGACTAACAAACCTAAAGTGAAGATGCCAAAAGAATACAAAAATTATGAAAAAAAGAGTTAAAAATGTTTCATTTTTTATTGTTGTTGCTGTGGCGTTTGTTGTTTGGTTTGTTAAAAAAAAAAGATCAAATAACAAAATGCCGCCAAAATTCAATGGAAAACAAAAGCTCACTTATTTGAAATTTGTTGTTATTTGTTGCTCTTCTCTCTTCAGAGGCAACTAATTTTCCACTTGTGTGTGTGTGTTGAGGGAAACCAAATCCATTGGGGCCTAGACCCATTTGTGCATAGCCCCTTTTATTTTTACTTTTTTCTTTTTGCTGATTTGTCAGTTCATGTTTGATTATTTACGATCGTTTGTTCAGCTCTTCGATTGCTGAAATATACTATTTGGTGCTCATCATAGGCTTGATATTATTTTTATGGCTCATATAACTGGAGATACCGAGAGCCTTTATTGTATTTCGCTAAGCGTCCGCAGCTCTATTCGAAATTTATTACATCACGATCTCTATTTTAATTTGTTTCCTCTTTCTGTTTTTTTGCTGCTTGAATTCCTCAGATCTACTTTGTAGTTTATGGTCAAATTTTTGTTTTCGGTTTGTATACTATGCGAATTTTGTTTGCAGCTGCGCTTCCTGGAAAATACACAATTTCTATCAGCAGATGACGCTAGAATCGCCTTTAGAAGCGAATGGATAGACAATAAGTATATAAACAATTTCATAATAAAGTTTTCGACACAAGTTTATGAGTTTTGCGGTACAAATTTATGCGTTTCGTATAGCTTTAAATTTGTTTGGCGTTGGGCCCTCAGGATTTGAGCAAGATAATCTATTCGAGTTTTTTATTTGTATATCTTTTCAAACTGTGCCGCAGTCAGAAATTTTTATTGTGACTAATTTCTTGCTTTTTGGCTCACAATATTCTGAGTTTCAGTCAAAACAAATACACAAATTGTAACAAATTTGTTCAAAAGCATTTGCTTGTTTTTTTTTTTTTTTTGTAGTACTTTACTAATTAGCTTAACAGAGCCCAAAAAAAACTCACACATCTGTCTGCCGGTTTTTCTGGATGTTTGCCTATGCTCCAAATTGAAATTGTAAATTATTATTTGTTTATTTACAAGTTGTCAAAAGGTTTGGTTGAAAAATGTGTGGCTAACTTGTTGCTGATGCCTAAACAGCAATGTAGCAAAAAATGTTCTATACATTTTTCCTTATTGCGCTGTGCTAATTGAGATATGGGTAATTATAGCTTAAGAACGGAAGGCATAGATGTGCTGAACAATGTTAAAAAATTAGGGAATAAAAACCTATTTAAAAGTTGAAAATCTTGCAAAAGAACTTTTCTAAAATCTCTGAAAATGTTATTCAAAAGTTTTGTGAATTTATTAAGAGTATAAATTTGTTAAATTATAAGAGCTTATATATTCGAAAAAGTTGAAGAAATTGATTACTTTGGGGATTCCTTCAAATTCCTTAAAGAATTTCTTAAATAATTAAAAAAAAAAATTAATTTTGGAAACATTTTTCAAATATAAAAAAGTATTTTATATATAACACTCGTAACTGAAACTCTTTGCGACTTAAACTACACGCCGCAACTGTCAATTGTTATAAAAAAAAAAAAAAAAAACTAAGTTCCACCACAAAATTCTCCCAAATTAGACAAAAATGAAAGCTTGTCCCTCAATAAATTATCAGTAAAATTCAGTGTAAAAAATGTTCTATAACTCAAGGAAAACCACAAACAAAACGCGCCGCAAAATGTGTGAAAACTCAATAAAAGGCAACAAATACTAATTAAAAAAAAAAAAGAAAAGAAAATATTCAAAAACGAATAATATGTCAGCGTCTGACAAACGAACTGTCAAAATGACAGACGCGTCAATAAAGCAACAACAACAACAACGAAAACAACGACAACGAAATGCAGCTACAACAAGAACAACAAAAAGAACGGCAGCAGCAACAAAATTGCTGCATTTATGCATCTATCTAGTCTGCATAAAACACACGCTGCAACATGCAGCACATCAGCGACAGCTGCAACATGCAGCGCCCGAGGGCAACATGTTGCAACAGCAGCAGCAACAGCAGCAGCAGCATCAACAACATCAAACAACTAGTGTAAATAGCAGTGTAAATATCAATATAAGCAGCAATTTCAATGAAATTGTCACCGCCACGGCGACAGCGACGGCAACGGCGACAGCAACACTACGCACAGCAACAACGGCAACGGCAACAATGGCAACAACAACGCCAGCGCGTCGCAAATGGCGTCGCAAGTTCGCCTATGCCACAAATCGCAATGCGAGCAGCAACAGTAACAGCAAACGACGCAAACTGTTGCGGCCGCATCATTATCAGCGCAATGTGACGCATGCAACGCGCACAACCACAGCAATAGCAACAATTGCTGCCAGTGCGAGCGCAACAACAGCAACAACATTGATACCAAAGAAACAACAGCAGCAGCAGCAGCAACAACATTTTAGCTATCGCACCCGCTTGCAGTCCAGCTTTCAACAGCAGCAGCAGCAGCAACAACATGTTGCTGGCGTGCAACAGCAACAGCAACAACAGGAACAACATGTTGTGGCTATAACGCCGCGACCGCCAAAGCAACAGCAACATGGCTTTGCTCTGCTGCCTGCCACCTACTATCAGCAACAACAACAGCAACAGCAGCAACAGCTCTTTGGCAATCTTAGCCGGCAGCAACAACAGCAACAGCAGCAACACTTTCTCATACACCCCGGCAACAACAACATTGTGCTGTACAGCAATCTGGACTCCCTGCCGCCCTGTCCGCCTGGTGTGCGTCTCATGCCGCAACATTTTATACCCCTGCGCCCAACAACAACCCAGCGCTCCCGGCAACGCGGTAAGCAAATTCACGCACTCACGATTCATTTAATTGTCGCGATGACTGCAGCGCTTGAATAAAACTCTGTGCACAAAGCAGAAGTAGGCAAGAAAAAAAAGGTGTTAATTACGCTAATAAAAATTGCATTCGCTTCGTTTATGGCAGTTAATGTGTTTGCCCACTTAAATGGCATACGGGCAACGGGCAAACAGGCGAGCGTCACCGCGTCATGCTATCTGGCGCCTCAATTGCCTATCTACCAGTATAATTACCTACCCCGCTGGCCCGAGCCAAGTTAGAAAGCCTGCCTAATTGGCCAAAAGCAATTGGCATTTTGGCTGCCAGCGGTTTGAACTGGCGCCAAATTGTCCAAGTCCAAGCCGTAGGTGATTGCGACAAATCGAAAGTTGAGGTTTCAAATTTAAGAGGAGGTCGACTTAATATAGTCGTATAGCTGTCAAATAAAGAAATAAAAATTAAAGTTTATACATACAAGCACAGTATACGCATTAAATCCAAATTTGTTTCTTTTTAAAAAAATATTTTTTTATAGTTTTCAGTTCGGTTTATTGAATTAATATATTTTTTATTATTTATTAGAATAAAGGAAAGATGTGAAATGAACCCCAAAATTCTATTGAAAAGATTAAGAAATCACAAAAGTAAATGTCTAAGAAACATAGGGATCGCAGAGGGAATCATAATAATGTTCATAACCTAAAAATTCAGAGAATCTATCACTTTTAAAAAATCGCTTGAGTTTTAGGAAATGCACCTATGCCTAAAAGAACATAATTTGTTTAAGAAAAGTAGAAAATAATATATAGTTAACACAATTTTAATTTTGAATATTATCCAACTCGATCTAGCCATGTCCGTCTGTCTGTCCGTCCGTCCGTCCGTCCGTTCGTATGTATGAACGCAAGGATCTCAGAACCTATAAGAGCTAGAAACTTGAAATTATAGATGTAGGTGCTCCTAGTTCCCAGATGCGCAGATCGAGTTCCCGATAATCGATCACTTACTCCGTTTCTAAGCAATCGATAAAAATCGATATCGATACCTGTTTTTTGTGCAATTTTGGTAAATAATAAGAGCTAGAGTCTCCAAACTTGCCATATAGCTTCTAAAATAGAATATATATATGCATTTGATGTTGGAAGAACCTCTTCAGGGTATCCCCTAGTCGGGAGCTCCCGACTAGAACCTCTTACTTGTTTTTTTTTTTTGTAATTTTGTATAGCCGAAAAAGTTTTTATTTTATGAATGTATTTTTTATACGTTTATATACATTTTATAAGTTATACAAAAAAGAAAAGTTTTAAATATTCAATATACTATCTATACCATTTCAAAAAACAAAATCCCACTACTTGCCTAATGAGTTCCTCTTAAATTCTTGCACTGTACAACAATTAGTATCAAAACAAATTCAAATTCAGCTGTTGACAATTAGAAAACAATATTCATGTCATTAATTTAAACTGTGTTTGCAAATCACAAATGATGATTAATAATCTTGATAATTATAGCCAGAGCAATATTTATTGATATTTCATTAATAATTCTTTGTTGGCCACCGATTTTTGCTTATGTAATCGAATCACTCAGCGAATTTGCAAGCAAATCAAATTACACGAACATTAAAATGCAAAAAAAAAAATGTGTTGCAAATTTGATTGGGCTACCCAAGGGAGTTGTAGTTGGGGGTCTATTGATAGATTGTCTCGGCGTTGGATGTTTGGCGCCTTGTTGCGCCTGGTCAATTAGCATTTTGGGGGAGCACAGACAGTCGACAGACAGGCTGCAATGTACATGGCCGCAAACGAGCACGTTGCTGACATTAGAGAGACTGTGGGCGCATTTAAATATTTTCGACATGGCGTTCAATGTGGAGCGCAGATGACATTCGCCGCATAGAGATGTGTGTAAAGAGAAAAAAAGTTTGGTTAGATGACTTGTCTTAACTATTGTTGGGCGAAGTTGTGGGAGCCCAAGCTTCTTAAATTGTGTAATGGGCTTTAAAGTCGCCACGCCAATCCCAGTCATTCAGCTGAAGCATGCCACATGAGACAAAACAAGCTGGCTAGCCACAAATATTGACAGTCTCAGCATCTTGACGTCAGACGACGAAAGAGAGAGAGAGGGAGAGAGAGAGAGAGAGCGAGACACTTAGCTGGAGCCGAGCAACACCTACATGCTGCATTAATCTAGAGTTCCACGGACAGAATTAAGCAACATGTTTCGGACAGCGTTGATTTTTTTCTCTTTTTTTTTTAATTACAATGAAACGTGCCACACAAACAAACAATGTGCTCGCTAATTGCGCATAAAGCTTCACCAAAGACCAAAATTGAGAAAAAAAAGATATTACAAAAACAAACAGGAAAAAACACAAGCCAAGACGCTGTATAAGAAGTGGAGAGGCCGGCTAAGGGGGGATTCTGTAAGAGTAACAAACTTGAAAATGTAAGCGGAGCAAATGGACAGGCAAACAAACCAAAACAAAACAAAACAAAACAAGACAAGACAAAGCAAAACCAAAGCAAACAAATGAGGCAAATGACAAATGCAAGTGTCAAATTTGTAGACACGACAGTTGTTGAGTTGACATTAAGCTCCAGTGGCTCACAAACTGTAAGACCAGAGCCGAATTAAATGTTTATGGATTTACAATTATTGGGAAATTTGTTGATCATTTTAAAAGATGACAAGTAATGATAGAACAAAAAAACAGCACAAATTGACAGCTCGTGAGTTTGAAAAGCACTGAGGTATGGGAAACTAAACAGATGTTATTCTCAGTAAAATTGGAAACACTATCCGAAATAAAATATATATGATATATTGATGATTCATATATATTTCCATCATTATTTTAGTGTATACATTAATATGGTAAAAATTAAAATTAGAGACAGACTTTAACTGAATGTTAAGTTAGTAGCGCCATATAAGATAGTTTTATAAGGATAGATAATTATTGTTAACAAGTTTATTTAATTTTGATATAATATGCTATAATATATTACGTTGAATTATAGTATAGTATAATTATAGATAGTGTAAAGATATTTATATCAATCGTTAAACCATATGGCATTACCCGGAACGGAAAACTTGTAACGCTCAAAAATATTTTTCTATATTTAAAAAACCTTAACCCTAAAAGCCTACTCTTTAAGAATAAAAGAAATTTAATAACTATTCTAAATATTAAAACAGAAACAAGCAATTGTTAGTTTTACCTTTCTCTGCTTAAGAAATCAATTCTTGTTTTTAGAAAATATTTGTCGATTAGTTTTTTTTTTCGGTGTTAAAATTCGTTTAATCGGAGCTAATTTTCTGTCGACTAAGAAAAGCATAGAAGTGATATTCTGATAGACTGATATTTAGGGCGAACGACGGCTTTTCATAGAAATCGTTTTGCTTTTCCGTTATGATTGCAATTATGTCTAAATTTTAATTATCTAAACACATTACGAATCTAGTTTAGGGATGCGAGCCGGTCTCTCCACATCAAGAACTGCGTCTGGCACTCGAGCCTGTAATCCACATCATAGATATTGGCATGAAGAAAGATCTCAAAAGCCCGCCCATGTTTGTACATTTGTTTCCCCTCCATTCGAAAAGATCAACATTACCACAGGTCCCACTTAAGCGAACACTTTTACGGTTGCAGGCACCCCGCACCTTTCCGTCTGCACGAGTTCAGCTCTTGAAGCATATGTTATGCCAACTTTTTTGCCGCTTCAACTGGCAGGCCAAAAAGTTGCCGTTTCATTTAAACTGCCGCTTCGTTGTTTACGCATCGGCACAAACAACAGCAACAGCAACAACAACAACATAAGCAGCAGCAGCAGCAGCAACTGAGCCCAAAAGACACCAAGACTGAAGACGGCGAAAAAAAGGCAACGCCAAGAGAGAAAAAAAATCATTTGAAGTGCATAGATCAAAGTGACCGAGGCGCCAGTTGAGTTTATTGTTGTTGTTGTTTGTTGTTTCTGTTGTTGCAGGCATATTTCAGACTTATGTCTGTTTTGCGTTGTTGATTTTGGCCCACGGGGCAGGCGTCAGCGTCATCTCTCTTGTCTCTGACCTCAGACAACCCGGCACACGTTGTGGGGGCCACTGCGATTCAAAGTTGTATTTCAAGTCAAAATTACCAAAAAAATATGAAAACGTGACTGGCCAAAAAAATAGTACGACGAGTAGAGTTATTTCTGGCTGCATATAACCATAGTACATATATTATAGTATGTAGCATATGTTGACAGACAATAGACCGAGTTAAGCCTTAAAGAAGTGAAATTCTTCTTTATGTTATTTAAATTTCTCTAGCGCTGATTAACCTCATTTAGTTCATTCCCAATCTAACCACAATGAATGAAACTCAGAAACACTTCAACGTCGGCTCCACACGTGGTCTTTCACACAAGGTTTCGTATTTCCGGTGTCTTGACTGGTTTTTTTTTTCTTTGATGCCCTATTAAAAGGCATTATAAATTTGTCATCAAGTGAGCAAAGCATTGAAATAAATATCTCAAGATATGATACATAAACTTGAGCAGATGGATGAGCTTAGGCAATTTCGATGTTTTCTTATTGAAACTTAGAAAAGATGCCTTTCACTTACAAATTGTTTTAATAAGAACTCTTCTCTTTTTCATTATATCTGCGCAATTTATTATCAACATCAAGCTTCTGTATTATATATATTTTCTAGAAATAATCAGCCAAAATTTCATTTTTAAACCTTTTGTATACCCGGGATTACGATAATATATTAATCTTTTATATTAAATGATATCTCAGTTTCCCGAGCAATTCATTATCAACATTGAGCTTTATCAGATTACATGTCTAATTTATACTATATATATTTATATTGTATATATAATCGTCCAAAATTTTCATTTATAAAAACGTATGCCTGAGATTATAATAATTTATCGCTCATCTGTCAAATTTCTCTGCAAGGGTATTCAATCTTTGTGTACTTCAAAAATAAACCTACT